AATTATTAGGATCAAGTCTATCTCCTTTCTTGTATATCGGTGTTACCTTTGCAGATTTCAATTCATTTGGAAATATTCCTGTAGAAATACTGACATTGATTAAATGGGTGATAGATTTGTAAATCGCTGGTGCAGCATGTTTAAGTAAGCGTGGACCTATGGTATCGATACCAGCTGATTTATTTACATCAAGTTTGTTTAATAAAGCTAACACGTCATTTTCATGTATAAGGGGAATGCTAAATTTATCACCATGTTCAATCTTGGTTTTTGTAAACTGCATTAATTTCTCGTAGTCAAAATCTTTCTGTTCGATATTTGAGATAAGTTTTTCTGATATACCTGTGAAATGATTGTTAAAAATCTCAACAATTTCTTGCGTGTCCTCGGTGGTGTTATTATTGTCAGAAATAGTCATCGGTACAAAATTATGTGATTTTGATGCTAGCTTATTCAGTGTGTTCCACATTTGTTTTGGATTTTTGCTTTGCTCTATAGTTGACCTATAATATTTGGTCTTTGCGCTGTCTATAAGTGCCGTGACCTTGTTTCTCCAGATTCGGAAGTTTTCAAAGTCACCATTTTGATGGAAACTGTCTCGCATATGTTGCGCCTTAGTGATTTCTGGTGTTAACCATTTAGGGCGATTATCGTTTTTTACTCGCTTAGTTTTAATTTTTGCATGTTTGTCCAAAACTTTGTTAAATAGGATGTAAAATTTTTCCAAAAATTCATTTGGGTCACATATGCTTTCCAATGTTGTAAAATTAGCATAATATAAATCATTTAAGAAATTGTGTTCATTGAAGTTTTTAAAGCATCTGTATGTTATCTCAATGTGCTTTCCTTTACGTAAGAATGTATTTGTTTTTCTTGTGAAACACACTGGGTAGTGGTCTGACAAAGCTATGGGGGGCACTTGAATTTCACACATGTTTTCAGGTAAATTAGTGTAAACATGATCAATGAGTGTTCTTGATGTATTTGTAATTCTAGTAGGTTGTTGAATTACTTGTGTTAAATCAAACTCTTCTATAGCCGAGGTCCAGTACCGAGGGGGGTCTTTGAGCAGGTCAATATTAAAATCACCTGTTAAGATAATTTCATTTTCATCACAGCGGGAGGCACAATTTATCTCTCTAGCCAACTTATTATTATTATACGCCCGTCTTAAGATGGGACGTATTATGTTATAGGCTTCGTGTCCGTCTGTCTGTCCGTCTGTCTGTTAGCCTTTTCTTTTCCGGCTCATAACTTTAATTCTACTAGGCCTAGTCCTTCTGTCTGTCCGTCTGTCTGTTAGCCTTTTCGTTTCCGGCTCATAAATTTAATTCTACTAGGCCTAGGATTATCAAACTTTGTCATCTGATGCATCTTGGATAGAAAGTGTGTCGCGCACAAAAAGTAGGTCGCTCTGACCTTTTATTAAGAAGTTATAGCCAAATATGGAAAAATCCTTTCCGGCCCATAACTAGAAAACCATAAGACCTACAATCATCAAACTTGGCCAGTTTATGCATCTTAGGTAGAAGGTGTGTCGCGACCTATTTCAAGGTCACTGTGACTTTTAATTTAAGTGAATTTAAAAAAAAAATGTGTCTTTTTACTATTCATTTACACATCCCAAATAATGTAAGAGTATTGCACTGTTCTTGTTAAAAAAGTGTTTAATCAAGAAAATACTTATTTTTTCTAAGCATATACTTGACAGCAATCTATAACAAATATAATGTATGTCAGAGAAATCCTGCCTCTCCCATGAGAGTAATTATCAAGCACTGGTCAAGAAGAATTTTGATAACAGAAAATTGCATGTCAAATTAGAGAGAAATTAATGGGTTTTAAGTGTAAGGAGCTAACTGACAGAGCATTGGTGTTATCTATATCCCTTGAGTATTGGGCAAATGGGTAAGCCTGTGTGATTAAAAATAGCTCTTGTTGACTAGCTTAAGTTTTAAAATGAATTTGATGAAAAGTAATTAAAACTATTTTGATTTGCATAATAGACTAATCTTATATTATGTAATATTATTAATTTAAAAACGAATTTTATGGGGTGGGGTGGAATCAGCATGTCCATATGAATTACATATTAAAACCTGTTGGAAATTAAATCTCAACCAAAAAAAAAATCTTTTAGTATTTTATATGTTTTTAAAAAAAAATTTAGTAGATAGTGCAGACCCATTCATCTCTTGGTAGTAATGAGTGGACAAGCATCCAGTTAAAGATTAATTAATGAGTTCAATGTTGGAAGGCTAGCTGTCTCAGTCGTTCTGATTAAGCTGTACCCTTTGGGGATTAGACAGAGGAGCTGTTGGTCATTTGATGGCCAGTCTTTTCTTTTCAAAATTAATTTGGTATAGATTAAGTTGTTAAGACTAATTTGATGATGGGCATTTGACAAGGTCTAATACAACCAGCACAGAAATCTATCAGTGATGTAATATTTATTATAATTCATGCCTACATCACAGGGGATTGATAAATATTTTAAGGAATGGAAAAAATCATCGAAATCTTAGAATCAAGGTTGATGTGATTTTCTTGCACCTAAACTGTTCAAGAAAATTGTAATTTTTTTGACGTGCGTATCATGCTGTGGCGCGGCACTTTATAATTATTAGCAGAATAAATTTTTTCTGGACTCATAATTATTTTGATCACACTGAATTCAACTTTTTTAAAGTTCTTCATATAATAATAAATTTTACTCACTTCAGAAAGCTAATACTTGTTATGATTTACTTACAGTACTTGGGCTGAAATAGTCTTGTCCAATGATTCCTTGCACTTCCTTATTGGGGTCATGTAACGGCTTTTTAATGCTTTTATTTCATAAATGTTTAAAGCGGGGTATTCTAGATATACAACTAAACTCATAAGATTCTGTAGACATATGCATACTTTTAAACATGCTTGAAAATCCAAAAATTTCACAGTATCACTGCCATATCTAAAGCGCGACGCCATTGGGGCCCTTCATTCCTTTGATTAAATTTTACGGGCTTTTGTTTTCTAATTGATTTGGAGGCGTATTTGGACACTTTAAGGCCTATGATCATAAAACTTTGTCAGTTGGTGCATCTTGGGTCCACAAACAACATCAACTTAAAAGTAGGTCATCGTGACCTACTTTTTGAATTTTATGGCTAATCTTTTCTCACATTTAATCCCATTATTTCAGACACCATGAGGTTTAGAATCACCAAATCTTGTAAGTTGATGCATCTAGAGGCCTTAAAACATATTTATCTAAAAGAAGGTCACTGTGACCTACTTTTTGAACTTTGCAGGCATTTGTTTTCAAATTGTTTAAAAGGTATATTTTGAATACTATTAGACCTATGATCATCAAATTTTGTCAGTTGATGCATCGATCTTTGGTATTCAATAAAAAGGTCATTGTGACCTACTTTCGACATTTTATGGCTAGATTTAAGTATCTCGGGTACTAATTGGCTTAGAATCATTATTCTTTCTGATTCTGATTAAGGACCAAATACTAGGTCACAGTGACCTACTTTTGACATTTTATGACTATATTTTAGTATCTCTGAGGTACTTATTGGCTCAGAATCATCAAACTTTGTCATTTGATGCATCTTAGGTTTTCGGAGTATGTCGACCAAAACGTAGGTCACAGTGACCTATTTTTGACATTTTGTGGCTAGTTTTATGTATCTCAGGTATTAATTGGTTTAGAATCATCAAATTTTGTCATTTGATGCATCTTAGCTTTTCGGAGCATGTTGACCAAAAAGTAGGTCATGATGACCCACTTTTTAATATCTCAGGTACTGATTGGCTTAGAATCATCAAACTTTGTCAGTATATGCATCTTGGGTTTTCAAAGAATGTCGACCAAAAAGTAGGTCACAGTGACCTACTTTTGTCATTTTATGGCTATATTTAGGTATTTCAGGTACTTATTGGTTTTAAATCATCAAACTTTGTTATTTGATGCATCTTAGGTTCTCGGAGAATGATGCTCAAAATATAGGTCATGGTGACCTACTTGTGACATTTATGGCTATATTTCAGTATTCTAGGGTACTTATTGGCTTAGAATTGTCAAACTTTGTCAGTTTATGAAGCTTGGGTTTTCGAAGAATGTTGACCAATAGGTAGGTCACTGTGACCCACTTTTGAATATCTCAAGTACTTATTGGCTTAGAATCATCAATCTTTGTCAATTAATGCATCTTGTGTCCTCTGAAAATTTCAATCAAAAAGTAGGTCACCATGACCTCCTTATAGTATTTTATAGTTACATTTAAATATCTTCAGCCCTAACTGGCTAAGAATCTTCAAACTTTGTCTGTTGATGCATCTTGGCTCTTAGGATAGATTGTATAATTTATCAGAAGAGTGATTCAAGGCCCTTGTGCCTCTTGTTGTTAGTTGTGCCCACTGGACTTTAAAAAATTCCATTTATTTCCATTTTCGTTTCATTCTCTTTGCAGAGGTTGCACATATTGAGATGAAATTTAATATACAGATTTTTCAGCTGAATATGTAGGTCAAGTTTTGTTTTGGGTAGGATCCCACCATTTTAGACACAGATATACAATTTTGGACTTGGAAAAAATTTAACTTGGGAGGAGGGGGCATGAGTGTTATACAAACATCTCTTGTTAAAAAATTTATTTTGATAAACAACATGAGCACCAAGTTGATTAAAGTGAGCATTGTGACATATTTGCCTCTTTTGTTTTTAAATCTCAAAGACAACAGGGCCATGTTGATTTCAATGATACTCAATCAACCATATGATTTTAGAATTGAGGTTTTTGTTAAATTCCAACCTCAAGAATCTAAATGTGAGGCATAATATGAGGTCATTTTATAAAAACAAGGAAAAAATTGTATAATTTTTTTTCTCATAATCAAAGGGACCAAGGGGATTCAAGTAAAAACTCTGGCTGATAGGCCTCCTTTTATATAAGCAGACTTTCATGTTAATTTTCATTAAGGAAATCTTTCCTTTTCTTTTCCAGATGAGAACAAAACGACAGTCTGCTGAACAGAAGGCAGCAAGAGAAAAACGGAGACGAAAGATGATGAAAGATGTTGGGCCTGTTGCTAAGGCATACCATAAAAGTCAGAGTTTGGTGGGCATCTCTAAAAAAAACCCAAAGCTTGAAATGTGTTCCAAATCAGGAACAGTGGTCAAAGCTAACAATGTTAGCGGCCAGAGGCTAGTCAAGGCCTCTTTAAAAAACCTTGACAAAACCATGAAAACTGAAACTGAACTGAAAACTGAAACAAAACTGAATACTGAAACTATACTGAAAACTGAACTGAAAACTGAAACAAAACTGAGCACTGAAACTATACTGAATACTGAAACTGAACTA